CTAGATGAAGGGCAGCCAGGCTCCTCCTCCCTTAATCCCTGTCTACTCACCCCTCCCCCAATATTCCCTCCTGATGACCTGTGTCCTGGGCCTTTAAGAGTTGGAAGGGCTGGACCAAGGAGAGAGCTCACACCTCTCCCCACCCTACTCCTTCTCTTTGGCTGCAAGTCTGCCAGTCACAGCAGCAAACTGCAGTAGAAAAGGGGAGGAAGCCAGCGGAGCAGCGAGAGGAGCACAAGAACCCAGCTGGGTTTCCTCGTCCCACAGGAGAGGGCGTCGCAGAGCTCACAAACAGGACTGCTCTCCTGCTCGCGGTAAGGGCCCCAAGGCTCTAACCAGCCTCTGCTCCAAGCTGTGCGCTGCCTGAGTCCCAGCCTCTGCCCCCCACATGCTTATCCACCCTGATTAAATTGTACCCCGGACTCCTTAGCCCTAACAGATCTCCAAGGCTCCCACCTCCTGGTTCTCCCTAGCTCATCCCCTTTGATTTACAATTTTCCTTCTTGGCTGTGGCAGTCAGCCCTTTATATGGGGACCTCTTAGCCACCCAGGGCTGACACTCAGGGTTGAGCCCCACCCTCGTAAGGGAAGAGAGAGAACTGGAGTAACCATGCTTTAGCATACATGCATTAACAGAATGTTGAGGATTACCAAAGACCCAGGGAAGAGTATAGAAACTATAGAGTTAGGAGATTTCCTTAGAAAGAACCCAGGTTTGAGTCCGTACCTGTTCTTAGCCTGCTCAATGGGCCAGGGCAGTTTGTTGGCATGCCCAAGTGCTGTGCTGGGAAACGCACCTGCTTCTAGTCCCGACTCTGCCTTTAACTAGCTCTGTGACTTTGGACAGCAGCTTCCTGAGCTGGGATAGGAATTCAGGGTTTCCCAGACTTGCTTGTGTATTGGGGGTTCTTTTTAACAATAAATATTCCTGAGCCCCATCCTTTCGAATTCTGGTCTGGCCGATTTGGGGTGGGGCTCAGGAGTCTCTATTTTAAGACACTCCTAGGGATAGTGATATAGCCAGTAACCTGTGGGTTAGATGAGTTATGAAAGTCTTCGAGCTCTAACATTCTGTGAGCTATCACCTATGACCAGAGCCATTCTGTCCTCTTTATATGAATGAGTTCAGGCAATAATCCTGCTCAGAAGCAAGAGAGGGGACAAAATGATTCTCTTCCTTCCTGCCCCTCAGAGGGCTCTGAGACACCCTAAATTTCAATGTCATGCCTTTGGCACTATCGGCAACCCTGGCCAAGTCCATCTCTAGGTGACATAAGCCACCTGTAGGTTGAGGACCAAATCTTACTCTGTAGCCCTGGCCACTTCCGACCTTATTTTGCATCTCTGCTCTCTCCTCTGTATTGTAGAGGTAATTATCTGCAGTCTCGAGGATCTCTACATTCACCTCTAGGAGTGAACAGTCAAGACCTACTCTCCTCTCGGGCTTCCTCCACTGTTCCTTACCTCTTGCTCTTGCTCCCACTTCCGATCCTTTGTCCCTTCTTTCCTCACTGCATCTGCATCGGCTGTGACCTTCCTTCCCATCCTACCTTCAAACACCAGAGGAAGCAGCAACACCTAGAACACCTGGGTTCTAAGTCGCATTCTCTGGGCAGTGTGTTCAGTCCGTCTCCTAGGATACGGAGAAAGTGAGCCTGAGTGGAGGGGGTGCACTCCTGAGTGTCCTCCTCCCTCCTGGACCCCAGTCTCAAAATCTCCACAGGGGACAAGAACCAGAGGTATTGGGAATTAGAAGAGAAAGAAAGAGAGGAAGAGGTGAGCCTGGGGGGAGGGGGGACGCAGGGGGGAGGCAGGGAGAAGGATGAGGAAAGGAGAGCACAGAGAGGCTGACAAGGAGGCAAGTAGGGAGGCAGACAGGAGCAGGAGAGAACGGTGAGCTGAGGGAAGGGAAAATGAAGGTGTCAGGATGGGGGAGGAGAGAAACTGGAAGAAAGAAAAGAAAGGCTACTAAGTGGGACATGGTGGGGGCAGAAGATGACAGAGAGGAGAGACAAAACGCCCATGTCCCCTATGGATTCGTAGCCCTGCCCTAACCTGCTTCTGAGACAAAACCCTTTCTAAGGGCAGAGCCTTGGTGAAATCTCCAAGCTGGACATATGGAACCATGGTTCTAGTCCCACTTATGCTATTTAGTTAATTCATTCGATGACTCTGGCGGTTCAGTTAATCTTTCTAGTCCTCAGTCCCCTTCTCTATAAAATGAAGCCCAGTTCTGATATCCTGAGGCTCCCTGAGTTGGAATTGGCCCTCGTATGGCCACATGTTGCCTGGATCTAGGTTTCAAATAGTGAGTCAGGAACGGGAGCAGAATTGGAAGAGCAAGGCAAGCCCTGGGGTTGGAGGAGTCTGACAAAAAGCCTTAGGTAAATTTCCAAAGAGGGACACCTGGATGGCTCAGTCAGTTAAGTTTCTGACTCTTGATCTCAGCTCAGGTCTTGATTTCAGGGTTGTGAGTTCGAGCCTTGTGTTGGACTACTTAAAAAGAATTTTTTTTTTTTTTTCCTAAGGCTCATTTGAGAGGAGATAGGCTCAAAAATAGGAGTGTCCCAGCACTGGAGCTTAGGCTTCCCGTGGGCTTCCCATGTTTCAGGACATTCTGGTGAGGCTTCTGGACACAGGTGTAAGGGAAGGTAATTCTGTCTTTTCCCAGGGCTGAGACCCACCCCATCCCAGAGTCCCTATGCCCCAGACATGGAAGCTGAAATTCTGTGAGGAGAGAAGGCAGGATGTTGGCAAAGGGGAATTAGATCCCTGTCCCCTAGAGTCTGAGGACCTGAGACATTTAGGAGAGCACCTATTACTTCAGTCTTCATTCAGCTTTTGCAAGCCTCAGATTCCAGACTGCATCACCACCCAAAAGAGCAGAGCTGTTTTTCTGCCTCTCGTGAAGCACTCTGGGCCCCTTCGTCCATCCAGAGGCTTCTTCTGTTCTCATCCAGGCTCACATATTCAGCTTCAGGCAGCAAAACCTTTGCTTTTTGGAACTGTCTCGGGGTTCTGTCTCTCCTGAGAGCTGCCTCAAGTTGTCCTTCCCACTTAGATATGGATTGGTTGCCAACCTTCTCCTCTCCCTCTGGGCCCCTGCATGTTCGCTAGTCCTTTAGAAAGTCTTCTGTAGGGGCGCCTGGGTGGCTCAGTCGGTTAAGCATCGGACTCTTGATCTCAGCTCAGGTCTTGATCTTATGGCTGTGAGTTCAAGCCCCATGTTGGGCTCCACACTGGGTGTGGAGTCTACTTTAAAAAAGAAAGAGGGGCTCCTGGGTGGCTCAGTCGGTTGAGTGTCCAACTTTGGCTCAGATCATGATCTTGCAGTTCGTGAGTTCCAGCCCCGTGTCGGGCTCTGCTGACAGCTCGGAGGCTGGAGTCTGCTTCGGATTCTGTGTCTCCCTCTCTCTGTCCCTCCCCAGCTCGTGCTCTCTCTGTCACTCTCAAAAATAAATAAACATTAAAAAAATTTTTTTTAGAAAGGAAGGAAGGAAAGAAGCCTTCATTGGGTCTATCACATTCCTGGACTTCAGCTTTGGGTCCTATAGTCAGGGAAGCTGTATTTTCAGTGACCCCCCACATTTTCCCTAAAGATTTATAGGCTCTTGCAACTAAACAGAGATACAGCACTGATAGGCCGTGTGACCTGAGACAAGTCACATCACATTTCTGGACTTCTGCTTTTCATTTATGAAACATAGGGAGTTGAACTTCACAATGTTTTAATGGAGCACTACCTGACTGATTTTAGAGATGCTTTTCAGGTTTTAGATACTCACCATTGTCAAAACTTTTAACTTATCAATTAAAAAACACAACAATTCTATTCAAGTGCAGCTCCTTTGCTTATACAAAACATAGAGCTTTATGCTTCGTGAACTTTGCCAATTCCAGAAAGATTTCGTCAAGAGTTGATAATTTCTTATAGGGGCTACATATCAAGTCTTCTAGTTCTTTTCAAGGGAAGTTTGTTGTTCCCTACCCAGGTCCTAAATTAGCATAGATCTTAAAGAAGGTTATCTTTTTTAGTAGGTAGAGAGGACTTGAAAACGCAGTTCTAGGACATCTGGGTGGCTCAGTCGGTTAGGCGTCTGACTTCAGCTCAGGTCATGATCTCACAGTCCGTGAGTTCGAGCCCCATGTCGGGCTTTGTGCCAACAGCTCAGAGCCTGGAGCCTGCTTCAGATTCTATCTCTGTCTCTCTTTGCCCCTTCCCCACTCACGTTCTGTCTGTCTGTCTCTCTCTCTCAAAAATAAATAAACATTAAAAAAAATTAACAAAATGCAGTTCTGAGACTACATAACTTACCTGGTCCATTAAACTGAGAATAACTGTTAGGCCAAGGAGTATAAAATATGCTTGACTGTGTGAAGACAGAAGGAGATGGCTTATTTTGCAAGTATGGCACTAAGTGTCACAGAAGAGACAAAAGAGATGCTCTGCCCTGGTCCCCAGGAGCTGGTTGATCTGTACAGGAGCGTGGAGAGGGCTCTCAAGATAGAGAAGCTGGGTTGATTCCATCTGGAGAAGAGAAGACTAGGATCTAGAGAGATTCCAGGTTCTTAAAGGGGGCAGCCAGCTTGATGGTAGTCCCTAATAATCAGGAGCTAAGAAGGATGATGCAGGTTACCCAGCGGACTGTGGGGTATTGGGCAGAAAGCTCTGGTGTATCCCTCTCTGGAGCTGACTATGGTAAACAGCAGAGGCTTTGGAAGCAGACATATTTGGCTTTAAATTCTGAATCTTATGTGATCTGATGCAGGTTTCTTAGCCTCTCTAAGCCTCAGAGTCTAACAAACTCGAACTGGAAGTAAAAAGAGCTGAAGAGTCTGTAGATGAGGTACCTAGCACATAGTGGCCAGTCAGGGCACACTGGTTTCCTTCTCTTCCTCCTTTGATCTATTATTCTAAGACCACCAGTATTAACCCAAAGCTTTTTGTTCCTCCTTGCTCCTTTAGGTGACTCTGGCACCAGCTTGTGGAGCAGTAGGTGATGGTGTCCTTGATGCAAGGCCGTGAGTACCCCAGCAAGAGAGGAGGGCTTGGGGACACAGCCCAGGGAAGGGGAGGAGTCTGGACCCCTGCCCCAAGAGCTCCTCCGGGGCCCTCCACCCTCCCTGCCAGCTACCCACCCAGCCCCTTCTTCTCCTGGCCCAGGGCTGCCCATCAATCAAGATGTGCTGCTGATGCAGAAAGGCATGCTGGTGCGCAAGGTGAGGTCCAAAAGCTGGAAGAAACTAAGATACTTCAGACTTCAGGATGATGGCATGACAGTCTGGCATGCCCGGCAGGCAGGAGGCAAGGCCAAGCCCAGCTGTGAGTCACGTGGATAGCTAGGGGTGGGCGTGCTGGGTAGACAGGACTCTGAAGAGGCCAGCAGCTAGAGAGCAGGGGAGGGACCGGGATCCTACAATGTGTCCTTGTGCTGTCCCTCTTGTGTCTCTCTCCTAGCCTGCAAAGTGGAAATTATAACAGCACTTGCCTCGTAAGGCTATTTATGAGGATTCAACCAGTTATTGCATGTAAAGGGCTTAGGAGAGCCCTAGCATATAATAAGGCTCAATAAATCACAGGTTATATTTTATTACTATTAAATTAAGGCATGATCTCAGGCATCGGGCTGCTTGGATTAAAACCCTTGCTCTGCAACTTTCTAGCTGAGTGGACAAGTTACTTAAATTAAGCTTCAGTTTCCTCATCTGCAAAATAGGGATTAAACACTACCTGCCTAGATGGTTACAGGGACTAAATGAGTTCATGTATAAAGCACCTAGCATGGGACCTAAAGCCAGGATGCATTTAATGCATTAGCCACAATGATGAATATTTTTAAAAATCATAAATGCAACATAGCAGTGTGCATCCTATTGGCCAGAGATGCCTTATGAACCCTCTAAAAATCTGATCACAGGACACATCTAAGAGAGTCTGCTTTAGAGATATAATCAAAACTCACCAGCCACACCACCTCCAGCTGAGGAAAGGGGGTGGAGAAATTTCTCTGGCTCTCCCCTAGACATCTGGAAAGAGGAAGCCCTCAAACCTGGAACAGGGGAATTGAATTTGGGCACGTCACGCTTCGGTGTAACTGCTACTATGTAGACTTCAAGAGTGTTTCCTTCTGTCACCCCTGACAGTCCTCCTGTGATGCCTCTACATGGGAGCTGAAATTCAGAGAGGAGATAAGGCAGGATGTTGGCAAAGGGGGATTCGAGCCCTGTCCCCTAGAGTCTAAGGACCTGAGACATTCTGTGGCCGGGCCACGGAAGGGACCACCCCTTATTTCAGATGAGAGCACAGAGGGGTTAAGTCATTTTGGTCTGTGTCACACTGCCAGCTGGTGGCCAAAAGCCAGGTCTTGCCACTCCCAACACAGGCCCCTTACATACTGCCTATGAAAATGGCCGTGACTCATGGGGAATCTTGAATCCCAGGGGTCTGCATCTCCCTGTACTAAGGATTCAGGGGTTTCATCCTGTGGAGGTTGGAGTTCCTCTTCCCTATGGCTTCACAGAGAGGAAGGGAGTACTGGTCCTTGACCCTTAGCCCCTGCAATTTGGTGGATTCTCTTCCTCAGTGCCCCACTCGTTTCTTCTCCGGCAGTCTCAATCTCTGATGTGGAGACAGTGCGTGAGGGCCATGAGTCTGAGCTGTTGCGCAGCCTGGCAGAGGAGTTCCCCCTGGAGCAGGGCTTCACCATCGTCTTCCATGGCCGCCGTTCCAACCTGGACCTGGTGGCCAACAGCGTTGAGGAGGCCCAGATATGGATGCAGGGGCTCCAACATTTGGTGGACTTTGTCACCAGCATGGACCAAAAGGAGCGGCTGGACCAGTATCAGCAGGATGGAATCAGAGTGGGGACCAGGGGTCACTGAAGGAGCTGCAGGGCTAAGGATGGGGGGGGGGTGCTTGGCATGTAGGGATAGGGGGGTCTAAGAGTCCAGTTGGGGTGGGCAAGGGCAGCTCAGGCCAATATGAGGCAGAGGATATTGGAGGAGTAATGGAGGCTTGGGACAGCAAAAAACATAGCCAGGCAGAGAGTGGGCAGAAGTTAGGCCCTTCAGGATTGGGACAGTGAGAGGCAAAAGGCCAAACAAGGTACTGATCTTAAGAGCTGAACAGAAGATCCCAGTGGCATTAGCTGGCATAGGACTGGGAAGCAGCTTTAGTGGTGTTGACTGATTCAGGTTTCCTAGATTGTATTCACCTTCCATGCCAGTTCGTTCATTCATTTGCTCGTTCATTCATTCATTCATTCATTCATTTGCTATTTATTAAGCAGAAGGTGTCAGTCACTATACCACACTTTAGAAGTACAAAGATCAGTGAGACTCAGGCATTGTTTTGGTCGTTGGAAAAAAATGGAATTGTGTAAATAACCTAAGTATCTTAGAAGTGTTAAGGGACTTAGATTATTTGTGGGTGTTCAAAGGAAGGAGAAATACTTAATTCTAGCTAAGAGAGTTCTAAGAAAACGTTAGGCAGGAAGTTGCATTTGAGCTGAGCCTTGAAAAGGAGTAGAATTTGAACATAAAGAAGGAGGGAAAGGCTCTCCTGCCTGAGGGAATAGCATGAGTAAAGGCCCAGACATAGAACATTGAAGAGCAGGAGGGAGAGTGGGACATCAGAGAGTGGGGGGGGTTGCTGAGTCTGGCCAAAGTACAGGGAGGATGTGGTGTGGTGAGAAGGCTGGGTGGGGGCCAGCTCATGGGGGTGAAGACCTTCATCTATGTTAAGAAACTTGGGCTCCTTTCTACAGGCAACAGGGAGGCCCCTGCAGGCACCTAAGCCATGCAAGGACAAGATAGATCTCTGGGGAGATTATTCTGGCAGCTAATGTGGAAAATGCATTGGCCATGGAGGAGAGACTGGGAAGATGATAGGGGAGAAGATGTCAGTGGATGAACATGCACACTCATCTGCACACACAAACACACACACGGTGCTTTTGCCTTGACTCACACCTGGGTGGCTGAGTGACTGGTTCCAGCGTGGAGACAAGAACCAGGATGGTCGCATGAGTTTCCCAGAGGTCCAGCGGTTACTACACCTGATGAATGTGGAAATGGACCAGGAATATGCCTTGCAGCTTTTTCAAGTGAGTCTTTCGGGGAAGGGTTTTCAGAAGCCAGGCAAGGCCACATTCTCAGTTGGCCAGAAGTACTCTGGCCCCATCCAGCATCGCTCTTTGTTGAATCTCTCCTATGCACCCTACCACTATGCCAGGCTCAATGGAAAGTGTCGGGCATGCTTCTTACCCTTCGGTCTTCATAGAAAGATGATTCATGGGACACCTGGGTGGCTCAGTCAGTTAAGCATCTGACTCTTGGTTTCAGCTCAGGTCATGATCTCACAGTTCGTGAGTTTGAGGCCTGCATCGGGCTCCACACTGACAGTGTAGAGCCTGCTTGGGATTCTCTCTCTCCCTCTCTCTCTCTGCCCTTTCCCTGCTCACACTCTATCTCTCACAATAAATAAACTTAAAAAATCTTTTTTAATAAATTAATTTAAAAAAGGAAAGATGATTCATAATCTTATGAAAGGCAAACAATACATTACTCTGTGTAGCTCAAGGACCTCTCTGTCCACAGCCAGAATTTCACAGGTGCCTAGTATCAATGGAAAACTCCAACTGGAATGTGAGTAAATAGGAGGAGGGATCTTTCGACCTTGTTGGGGGGCATTTCACTCTTTCTAGTTGAAGTTTTTCTCTAGTAGCAAATGGTGTGGCTGCCATTTTGCTTTTTACTTACCAAAGTGGCTTCTATGAACACTAAATGTCAGGAGTTCTGTGGGCATACTGTGGAAATGTGTTTGTATCCATCTGTCAGTAAGATTGCCCTTACAAGGCAAGTTGGAGCCGTAAAATTTGCTCTTAAAAGGATTTGTCCACAGTCCTCTAAACCCTCTCTTGCAGGCAGCAGACACATCCCAGTCTGGGACTCTGGAAGGAGAAGAATTTGTAGAATTCTATAAGGCGTTGACTAAGCGCCCTGAGGTGCAGGAAGTGTTTGAAAACTTTTCAGCTGATGGGCAGAAGCTGACCCTGCTGGAATTTGTGGATTTCCTCCGAGAGGAGCAGAAAGAAGGAGAAAGAGCTTCAGACCTTGCTCTGGAACTCATCGACCGCTATGAGCCTTCAGATAGTGGTAAGAGGGCCGGAGGGTGGAGAGGCACCAGTCACGGGGCGGGGAGGGGGACCAGGGTTAGAAAGGTCCAGAGCCAAGCCGCCTTCTGCCTAGCTCAGGGAAGGCTGAGTCTACCCGTATGCCAGTCCCTGTGCTATCATTTTCCTCTCATCCAACCACTCCCTGGGAAGGAGAGCAGTGATTTCCTTCCCAAGTAAGACAGGAGTCTCCCATCGTGCTGGATCTCTCCAGAGGAAGACCCTTCCTTAAGTCCCCTCTCTTCCACTCTGCTCCTGCTTCACTTTCAGAATAAGTTCTTCCTGGTACCAACGTTTGTCCCCAGGGGAAAAGGGAGATCCTTGGCCTCTTGCCTTGGCTTCTCCTCTAGCACATATGATTCCTCTTCCTCTAGCTCCTTCATGGTCCCTGTTTGTTATTTCTTTAAGTGCTGGGTCTCTGCCCTTTCCTGAGCTCTCTCCAAATCTCCGAGTGGTTCTTGAGTCGCTAAGCCCCTGGGGAAGGAAGCTAGTTAGTCCCTGGCTGAGGGAGCGTGATGAGGAGGCCAGTCACCCAGCTTTTAGCAAGCACCACTAACATACGCCCTCTCTGCCCTCAGACCTTTCTCCCTGCCCCTTCAGTGGACATCTCCCTGCCCTCCATGCCCTTCAGAATAGCAGGAACTGACATTAATAATAGATGATTTACAAGGAACTTTCACATCACTTATTTCATTTAGTCCTCCCTACAACCTTGTAAATCAAAAGCATAATCTTTATTCGGCTTCTGCTAAGTATCCCGTCATGTGCCAACATTGCTACATGCCTTTTCTCTCCTCATCCTTCCAATGGCCTGTTGAAGTGGGTTCTGTTATTAAGTCAGTTGTGCGAAAGAAGAGAACTAGGGTTTAGAAAGGTCAAATGAGCTGCTCAAAGCCAACAGCTAATGAGAGGAGGAATCAGGATTCAAACCCGAGTCACTTGACCCTTTCCTCATACCTCTGTGGAACATGAGGATTAGAGACGAGATGAATGAGAGCTGGACAAGGGACCCACGTTGCCAAGTCTCAACTCCCAACGCCCTTTCATTCATTCGTTCACTCACTACATCAGCCAATGCTTATTGAGCACCTGTCATAGGCCAGGACCTAGGCTCAGGACCAGAAATACAGCAGGAGGAGGTTGGACAAGGACACTGCCCTCATGGAACTTAGAGTCAAACATAAAGGGCTGGAATCGCTGATTCCAGATACCTGTTCATGCTCAGAGAAGAAAGGGGGCTATAAAGAAATCACTTCAGAAAACTAAATAGAAGAAGAATGCTGAGGCATTAGAAGTGGGATCTTCCCTTTCCAGTGCAGGATCTGGTAGACATCAGTTACATTTATTCTACTGCCGGTCCTTCTGGATGTTCCCTCCCCTGCATTCACCTGGCAGTTACTATACTCTGGCTGCAGAGCATCGTATCAGCCAGGAGACCTGGGCTCAATTCCCCACTGTACTTCTTTTTTTTTTTTTTTCCTTTTTCCTTTTTAAAAATTATTTATTTATTTTTAAATTTACATTCAAGTTAGTTAGCATATAGTACAATAATAATTTCAGGAGTAGAATCCAGTGATTCATCCCCTACATATAACATCCAGTGCTCATCCCAACAAGTGTCCTCCTTAATGCCCCTTGCCCATTTAGCCCATGCCCCCACCCACAGCCCCTCCAGCAACCCTCAGTTTGTTCTCTATATTTAAGAGCCTCTTATGTTTTGTCCCCCTCCCTGTTTTTATATTATTTTTGCTTTCCTTCCCTTGTGTTCATCTGTTTTGTATCTTAAATTCTACATATGAGTGATATGATATTTGTCTTTCTCTGACTGACTTGTTTCACTTAGCATAGTACCCTCTGGTTCCATCCACGTTGCTGCAAATGGCAAGATTGCATTCTTTTTGATTGCTGAGTAATACTCCATTGGATATATAAACCACATCTTCTTTATCCATTCATCCATTGATGGACATTTGGGCTCTTGCCATACTTTGGCTATTGTAGATACTGCTGCTATAAACATGGGGGTGCATGTGTCCCTTCGAAACAGCACACCTGTATCCCTTGGATAAATGCCTAGTAGTGCAATTGCTGGGTCATAGGGTAGTTCTATTTTTAGTTTTTTGAGGAACCTCCATACTGTTTTCCAGAGTGGCTGCACCAGCTTGCATTCCTACCAACAATGCAAGAGAGAT